TTATACAACGAAAGGAGACTGCGACCACACAAAAGGCCACACATTTGTGGGAAAATCCTACTATCAGTTCTTATGGGACCTAGAGCAAGTGGAATTCTGATAGTCTCAAAACTTACTTTATATAAATAGGTCACACCATAAACACTAGTTTATATACGAAGAAACATTAAAAGAAAAGATTCCTAGTACTCATAAGCGGTATAAAAATAAAATTCATGTGAAAACACAAACTTGTTTATTATGACAAGAATGAGTTAATTATATCCAGGAACACATAATAGCATACAAACTCACGCAAAACAATCAAGATGGGGGTAAGCTTTAAGGTATTGCTAAAAGTAATCAGAGGACCAATCTAAGTTGTTCACGTTTCCCGGAATATTGAAATATGAGCCTTCAAAATAATTAAATTTAATCTGCAAATTTTTTGTAAATAAAGCCTAGGGATACGGAAGGCATGAAAAACAGATAAATATTTAATGGCGAGTTTATTTCTTTTCAATAAGTTTGTAATTGATATTTTCTAATATTAGCGAATCTTAGGAGATTTTGGGAAGAGTTATTGAGGGAAGATATTCTTAAGTATACTTAAATACTTGTATAATCTTAAGAAGTATGAGACTGGAAAAGATAGAAAATTCAAGCGATATTTAAATAAGTTACTGAACCAGACGAATTAAGCGATATGGAATGAACCCATACAGATTGAAAAGCAAAGCCTACGGTTAAAGATCATAACTGATTGCTTCGTATTCTAGCGGTACTGTCAGCACAATATAACATTTAAATTTAAATAATATAAATGTTATATTAAATAAAGCTTTGCTGTATGGTTTTCGTGAAAGCTGAAAACAGTAGCTTCATAATAAAATATCTGATATTAATCTGATATTAATTTTTTCTAGAAGATATACGCCCATGTGGCAACCCTAGATAATAATGGAGATGGATGTGAAGATTAAATAAGGTGAATGAACGGACTTGGGTCTAGTAAAAACAATGCCTGCACTCTTCCATGCAAAGCAAATTGAACAGGGAAAATGAGCTGTGGTTATACTCTTGTGTAGCAATATGTAGCAAGGCAGCACCCTCTAGAAAGCTGGAGAGCTCAAACTTGGACCACGCATATTCCATAGGTCTTATTAAGCAATCTATTAGCAAATCAAATTTAGTCATGGGACCCAAGTAGAATAGCGAACAGCCTATGAAAACTTGGTTTGAGTTGCATTCTGAATGAGTCACCAGAAATGGCCTTGCTTGTATGTCTCGCTAAAGCAATTGAAAACGGCCATTTTTGCTGGACTAACAGGATGAGTCACAGAATCAAACTGTGCTGGTCAGAATGCTATTGAATAAGATGGCAAATATGCGTCAGATAAGAAATTCACAGAATAGAAATCTAGTTTCCTAGATAAGATGTAAAATGATGGCGGAGCATGGGGCTATGTGTGACAGTAAAGTTGATCAATGATGAACAAAGCATGACAGTCGTGCTGAATAACAAAGCAGCATGAGCAAACTTGTTTCTCGCAATATACGAAATAGTGCTAGTAGCTATAGACCGAGGGTACAGACTAGAATTGCCGAATAAAACACGGGAATCGTAATCATATGGGTGTACGTTAAAATACGCATACAAGAAGACAGCATCAGGATTTTCGATGTGATTAAAGAATTGTTAAATTTCACTTAAAGGCAGGAAATTTGGTTGACAAAATTAATAAGGTCGGCTTTACTAATCCATGCTGCCCAAATGATAAGTACTCTTAAAAATTGCTGTCTGGTAAAATTTTCCGATCAAAGATGGACTAGCCTATAAACGAAATGTTTGGATGTATGCATCGTCTCAGGAGTTAGAAAAAAGTATTGTCCACTGATAGAAACGATAAGTATTCATACAAAGACTTAAAGGATAAAAATGGACGAAACTTTAAGCAGGGAAGAACACCTTTATGAATGAGTGAAACAACTTGCTGAATAATATGGACGGGACATAATTGACAGGAAAGTGTTTAAAGTAACCTAATGATATGAATGCTAGTCAAATTAAGGCTTTCAAGATATCCAGCAATCTATATTATTGCATCAACCAATTTCTAATGAAGTGGTTCCAAGTTTTCTATAGATAAAGTTATTCAACTAATAGCAGTTTATTATGGAGGATAATCATATTTATTGAAGTGATTTGTTACTAATTCTATTTATCTATTTATTATTATGCTTTTTAAGCAGTCTGAATGATACCTCCATGTAGCGTTGCTGCTGGCACACAGACCACTCACCTCCATCATAAGTTGCGCCTCTTTGCTCAAACGCTCCTGCGATTCAGCTCGTCGCTGGGTGAGTTTAGAAAATTCAGCTTCTTCAACTGCTAGTAGTGCAGCCTTCTGCTCTGCTTGCTCGGCTAAAAGAGCCTCAGTGATCGCGTGCTCGCGCCGGACCAACTCCGACCATTGCTCCGCTTGATGTTGAGAAAGAGCGCGCAACAAGGCCCCATGCAAATGGGTCTCCTTCTGGAAAGCGAAGCGAAAATATAGACTTATTGGCAAACGATTATGTGCAAAATGCAAGGTTTTACTCGATGAAACAATGAAGATGTAAAGTATTTTTTAGTATGAAAAATCATTGCAAGGTAGCTTGTTGATAGAAATGTGAGTGCTTTTTCTAGAAAGTTTTATCCTCTTTTAATAGGTCAATTTTAGTACAATTCACACCTGGAAAAGCTAGTTTGTAGCCACTTCACCCGTAATGAACAAGCCGCACAATACTGACCCATTTTCGACTAAATTTTAACAAAAATCGAACTATGAACTATTCTTGCATTATTCTTGACGTATGTGTATGGTAAACGTGTGCATAGTTGTAATATAATCACCTTTATGCCAACGTTTTCCAAGTTTTTCCTAGTAAGTCAAAAGAGTAGCTTATACTATGAAGGATTAAAGAATTAAGATACTTGTGGAATTGACAAAATTTAGATATGTATATAACAAGAACTACCCCTCTATGTTATAAGATAGCCAATTATAATTTGCCAATACTAATAAGTCCATTGACACATTCTGCAGGAAATCTTTAAATAGTATATCCAATGCGGCAGAGTAATTGCGGCAAAAGGTCGCTTTAGCAATTATATCACATTTATTATACAAGTAGGTATGGGGCAGGAACTATCAGCTAACTAGCCTTTAGTCAACAGATTACGACCTTAATGTAGGCCACCTCTTAAGCGTTATTAGACAAATTATGCAGAAAACACTTAAAGCATAATTTGATTTTCGAAGGTATGAAGACCAAGATGGTGCGGTCTTTTGTATGTTCACGATCTCCTTTCGTTGTATAGTAGTTGTTTGACCTTGTTTTCGAAACTTGGTCATGTTGACAGAAGACCAAGAGGAACGCATCTTGTCTGAAGTACAATAGTATGAATGATAATGTAAAGAGTCAGGTCGTGGACTTGATAAATTCACAGAAGTTTCTACGGCATTGTGAATGAGACTTGCCATAATAGGCACCACAGTACAACTCGTCAGAGACAAGTGTAGTTGATACTTTGAGTAATTGTCTGCTAAACAGATGTGGTATCTCTCCATTTGTCCTAGGGTATGCACCCATCCTATATCTCCGTTTCATCCCCTCAATATCGCAAAATCTTAATTCTTTAAAAGTGATATGGATTTCAAGAGACCTAAACAAGAATAGGAACCCGCTAAAATTAAGAGTCAACAACAAGTACAGGTTAAAAATGAGGATATGATCCCCATCTTCCAGCTAAACTTCGACGCCATGGTATTCCTGTTGGATTTGTATTTTTCTGTGAACTCAAACTACCTAGAAGTTGTTTTACCTTGTTTTCACTGTTTGGTCATAGTAGACGGAAGACCTAGAGAAATGCGCTTTCACTGGAGTCCAAGAGATTGACTTCAATTTTTCCTTTGACGAGTTATAGCCTGGCTGCTGAGAATGACAAGACTCACTGACGACGCCGGAGAAACGTCTGGGGATCTACCAAATCTACGGTCCGACTCTGGAAATGATCATGCATACTATGGACTCCGGACAAGGTGCGTTTTTCAAGGACTTCCTGTCAATATGATTAAGTTGCGAAAATAAGCTCAAAAACTTCTATACAACGATAGAAGACTGCGACTATACAAAAGGCCACAAAGAGGTTCTAGGAATAGCAAGGTTCACTGAAGATGCTGGGAAACGACTGGGAATGTAGCAAGTCCACGGTCCGACTCTGGAAAGTATCATGCATACTATGGACTCTGCCTCTTTCTGCTCATATGTCCAAGTGGCTAAAATAAGGTCAAACAACTAGTATAATCATCCATTTACATACATAGTCACTGGTGTGCTTTGATCCTTGTGTTGATTGTTCCTCCAGTCTCTCCGATGTACCTTTGTTTACAGTCCTTGTAGCTTATGCCGTAAACTCAGGAGCACACCAGTTTGTTGGTATCATCATGTTGCCTGGACAAGCTGTTGAAGAGCTTTGTGCTTTCCTTCATTATTGTACGACTGTTCTATTTCAATAGTAACGTCCGTAGCTTCTGAGCCAGCTCGTGAAAGAGTAAATATATCAATAGTTTTTTTTCTTTTTCCTTTTTTCCCTTTCATTATACCTGTCCTGCCACCTGCTAATCATGATCCATATGTTGCATTTTATTACTCCTTCTGGATATCTGTTTCCAAGTTATATCTGAAATTGCTTTTTCAGTTCAGATTCTCATAACTGTAATTCCTCGAATATACGT